TTTTCCATTTCTGAGTGACATTTTTTAAAAATTGTATACTTATCGATCTTTGCCTTAATATTGTTAACGATGTAAGATATCTCCTTATTTATTGTTCGCCGTTTTAAATGTTGTCTTTAGTGATGGTAACCATCATTGTATTATGCTCATTGTTTTCAACTTTAAGTATTGTCTTTCATTGTTGTTAGCCAACTTGGGTCCTTTCCAATATTTTAAATAAATATTCCATAACATTTTCAATCAATCAATCAATCAATCAATCAATCAATCAATCAATCAATCAATCAATCAATCAATATCAATCAATCAATAATCTAGTCCCTTACCTTGCTGCAAAGTGAGCTACACATGGGACATTCCTCAGAAGGTTCAGGGTCTATTTTGGTTTTCATTCTTTGCTTGTCTAGTCCTACAAATAAAGGCAGATAGTTAAAACACAGCTCTCTGATATGTGAGACTTCTTTCAATTTTGCATTTAAAAAAGAATCACGCTCCAGACCAGGGCAGAGCAGAGAAGGCAGGGGGCTGGAGGAACAACATTTGCTGGTGACATCACTGATCCTTGCCAGACATTTGCGGAATTGCCCTGTGATCCTAGCAGTCAATGTTCTTCTGCCATTACCAGACAGATGGGCAGGCACACGCCAATGCTGTTTTTGGAAGAGCGGTCCTTTTGTCTACCTTGGAGTGATACAATCCTCCTCTGGTAAGACAGCTTTATAGCTTCCCCGTTATCGGAGTCACAGAGAAAAAGAGAAGAACAATAGGTCGCTTCTCTGTATGTGGTGCTTCCATGGGTGCTCTGTGACCTCACACATGCCATTTTCTTCCCATGAGGACACAGTCAGGGATGAGTCCCAGTTTGATTGGAAGTTACCAGTGAATATGGGGGAAGCAGCCCTTGTAGGGTAAGATAGGCCTTTAGCTATGTGTATTTAGAGAGAATGCTAATCCAGGCTTCTACTTTTAGTAATCCTGTCTCCAGTCTTATCTTGGCATTTGAGATACATCTTTGGACCTGTAAAATGGTTCTTAAAAATTTGGACTGTACCCTTTCCTCAGCTGAAAAAATGTGTGCTGACTGGCCCTAGGAATGACTCATATAATAGTTGGGATAATGTCTTGGCCTTATAGAGTTTTAGCGGTGCTGGAACAAATGCACCCCCTTAAGAGTAATGAAATTTTACTATGTTCTTTGGTGATATTTCTCCTTGGTCTGCAGCATATTCACTGTGTTGAAGTCTAGAGCCCTAAACTTGTAGAATTAACCCAAAAACATTTAATTTTTTTTTACCTGCTCAACAGAGTTTCCGTGTATTGACCATACTCTCTTTTTGGGTCTATGTCCAAAGGCAACTATCTTGGTTTTCAGGAAAAACCAGGGATTCATCTTCACAATAAGAAGACAGCTTTCTCAAGGCCCTCCTCAGCCCAGCAGGTGTTCTAGAAAGTATGACTATGTCATCCACATACAGTAATAACAGTACTGTTCTACTGCCAAGTCTGGGGTGCGTATGAATATCTGGAGTATTTAGGCAGTTGGGTAGAGCATTTATATAAAAATTAAATGATGCAGGTGCTAAAAGGCATCCTTGTCTGACACCTCTGTAAGTTTGAATAGGTTCAGTTAAATGACCTTGTCTGCTACATCGAATTCTCAAATATGTTTGTTCATATAGGGCCCTTATCAGATAGAGGAGTCCTCTATCAATAGTTGAGCTATAAAGTTTATCCCAAAGTCGTGATCTAGATATTGAATCAAAAGCGGATTTTCACAAGTCCACAAAGGTCGCATAAATTGAGGTTATTCCTTTGGCTAAGTATTTCTCAAAAAGATGCTGTATGATTAGGCACTGATATATCATGGACCTCACTGGCCTGAAGCCGCCTGTTCTAGCACAATAATATTCTCATGTTCCAGGTAGTCTGAACATTTGTCCAGGAAGTGCCTTGCATAAAGCTTGCTTATAATATTCAACAGCCTAATTGGCCTATAATTTGACGGGTCCCCCCTTTTACCTTTTTTATGGAATGGAACAACTATGGCTGTTTCCCAGGATTTGGGACTGGCCTATAATTTGACGGATCCCCCCTTTTACCTTTTTTATGGAATGGGACAACTATGGCTCTTTCCCAGGATTTGGGAATATGGCCTGTATCATCAATGTGAGTAAAAAGGGGTACTAGAAAGAAGGCCTACCACTCCTTATTCTCTTTTTTAAAAATCTGGTGGTATACCATCAAGGCTTGGGAATTTTTCAGTTTCTCTGTGTGGGATTTAATCTTTGCCTTGCTTACAGGAGGCCATTTAGAAGTATTTTCAAGAGTTACGACTGGCCTTCAAGGTCTTCAATGAGGAATTTGTTTTTCTTCTTTATTGCCTCATATAGCATATCCTTGCAATCACGGTCCCAGATCGGCACCAGCTTGTAGAGCTCCCGCATCTTTTCCTGATTGGTTCTCTTTACAGAGATGGCTCGGTATTGCTCTTCATCCAGGATGGTTCCATACAGCATATCCAAAATCCCATCTACTGTGGCAGTTCTCTGAATCAGTGCCTCTCGGTGTCGGTCAACGAAATGCTGCTCCAGTGGGACTGTTAAAGAAAGAAACAGAATCAAAGGGCATTTTGTATTAGGAATATTCTCATCTGATCAGTCATATCAGACTGTACCAATTAATTGCAGTTCTATGACAGAACAGTGTGGCTGAAATCCTGTTGCTCAGCTTTTTCTTGCAAAAGTGTGATTACATCAATATCAGGGGCGATTTTCATAATTAAAAACGTTTTCTCTCACACAGCTTTGCCAATTCCCATGTAATTCATTTTATCATGTGAAAGTGATGGGAGTCACAGGATAGGAGGAGGAAGTTTTAATTATTAAAAAAACAGTGCTGCTAGATGATGATTCTGGTGCAGGAGATTTTTGGTAATTTAAAACTTCCTCCTTCTGTCCTATGGCTCTTGCAGCTTCCATGCACTTAAAAGAGATTTCATGCACTGGGGGGGTGGGTTTGAATGGCATCCTCATATAAATTTGTAAAAAAGGAAACCCGTTTGTCTGAAGGCACACATGTAGGCTATTTGTGATTTGCGTCTAAAAGGTCTACCTGAACTCAGTTTTCAGAAGAGATATGAGTTTTTATCTTTTCCCGCTTCAATTAGCTTCCCCCATTGTTCTCTACTACATTCTTTCTTAGCCTGATGTATTAACAATTTGTATTCTTTCTTCTGACTCAGTAATTTTGTTAGAGCATCACTTTTAGCCTGGTCTTTTGATCTCCTGTATAGCTGGTACCTCCAATTTAATGTTCTTTTTGTTATCATACAACTTTGATTAAACCATGTTTTGGATCGATTATATGATTCCTGTTGTTTTTCACTATGGGAATGAATAAGGTAAGGATTTAACTTTTATATAAGTATTTCATATTTGGATACGGGATCTGAGTCAGCTATCTGGCTTCCTGGTGAAGGCGGCGATTCCACAAGCTCTTCCTGGGTTAAAAACGCCTTCAGGCTCCTCACCAATTTGCAGGACCATCTTACCCGACATCCCTGCCTCTCTAGGGGTCTAATCATAAATTGATATTTGAATTCCAGGTGAAAGTGCTTGGTATCTAACCTTATACATAGGAAAGGGGGAAATGATCCCCCTCTAGATAAGGAAGCACGTGAAATTCCCTGACCTTGGGGAAAAGGGTTCTGCACACCAGGATGTAGGCTGTTGTACTGGCTTTAGCCTCTGCCATGAATGTAAATTCAGCTGGGATGTCTCCTTTAGTTGAGCCATTTAGAACACACAGGCCCAGTCTGTGGGCAAATTTGTATAGACAGCTCAAGGATCTTTAAATATCCTCTCCGTCTGTGGAGTGTCATAGTTCTCATCCATTATATTACGTATTGTCTTGTATTTAGAGGCCAAAAGAAAGCCATTGTGCCCCAGGTGAGCATTTAAATCTTCCCCTAGTACAACCACGGCATCTGAATGTTCTGTGATAAGTGCCCTCACATAATTTTCTAGCAATGCCCACTTTTCCTCCAGTTCTGTTTTTCTGTAAGTTGTTGTTGTTTAGTCGTTAAGTCGTGTCGACTCTTCATGACCCCATGGGCCAGAGCACGCCAGGCCCTCCTGTCTTCCACTGCCTCCCGGGGTTGGGTCAAAGTCACGTTGGTAGCTTCAGTGACACTGTCCAACCATCTTGTCCTCTGTCGTCTCCTTCTCCTCTTGCCTTCACACTTTCCCAACATCAGGGTCTTTTCCAGGGAGTCCTCTCTTCTCAAGAGATGGCCAAAGTATTGGAGCCTCAGCTTCAGGATCTGTCCTTCCAGTGAGCACTCCGGGTTGATTTCCTTCAAAATGGATAAGTTAATTCTATTGGCAGTCCAGGGGACAGCTTCGAAAAGCAGAGCTATACAAAATGTCTACCTATATCAGGGCAAGATTACAAAGGGAACTGGGCCAGAAAAACGAAACTACACAGCAGGGAGTAAATCAGACCTTTGAACTTTCAAAATTTAGAGTTCATTATTTCCTGCTGAAATTATGCCATGTACTGAGAAGGAAGGAAGGAAGGAAGGAAGGAAGGAAGGAAGGAAGGAAGGAAGGGTCCCCTGCTCCACCCCCAGCTTCTCCAATGTGGCATGTCTTACACCAATAGTTCCTAACCTCAGGTCCCCTGATGTTCCTGAACTTCAACTCCCAGAAATCCTAGGCAGCACATCTAATTATGAAGGCTTCTAGGAGGTTGAGTCCAAGAACATATGGGGACCCAAATTGGGAACCCCTGTCTTATATGGTTGTAAGAAATTCAGCAATCACAATGTGAAGCAACACAAACACTTTAAAGCATGACACAAATGCTAAGCTAAGGTGATGGCAGTTGCCACCAAGGGAACGTGTTCTTGCCTTAAGCATCCCAAGAGTCAGACCCTTCTTGACCGCTTTTCCCCCCTTTGGGGCAAGGGCCTCTTCGGACCCCAGCAAGGAGCAGAAGACGCCATCGATGTCGGCTTGTTCGTCAGGAAGAAACCTTGCCAAGTGCTTCTGGTAGGAGCTGCGGCTCTCCACGCTGCCCATCTTTTCCAGCAGACGGTGGAATCCTAGTAGCAAAATGAAACTCGTGAAGCGTCCACCTAAATCGATCGAGGTTTTCCTCGAACAACTCCTCCAGAGCAGACGTCAGGCGATGGGCGACTTCCATCGACAGCGTCGCCCTTCGGCACCGCCCGTCTGAGCGAGGGAGAAAGTCTCACTGAGGGAAGGCAGGAAAAGCGGCAAATTTAGAAAGCCGGGGGGGGGGGCCAGGGGGGGGGGCGGAGGCTCTAATCCGCCTTCAAGCAGCCCCCACTGGCGCTCAGGAAAGGGGGAGGCCCCCCCGACCGGGGGGGGGGGGGAGGAGAGGAAGCCTCATCTTTAGGCTTCGTTTCTCTCCAGAAAGCGCTGCGAGGGAGCTTCGGGTCTGGCCCCGGGTGGCCAACCCCGGTTGTAGGTCGTGGCTTGCCCCAAGCTGAGTGTGTGTGTGCGAGTGTACATGCCTGAATGAATGAGGTGGAGTGCGGGGGCGGGGGGAAAGAAAAAGTTAGGCCAGAGGCATCTTCATGCCTTTCAGGTCAAAAGGAACGAAACCCTTTGGAAGCGTCGTTTGTGAACGCCTCAAGTGCGGAAGCAGTCCGACAATCTTTCCCCCTCTCCCGCTTAGACCAAACTGTTGTGGGACTGGAAGGGATGAACTCTGACAGGGATCTCTGTCTCAAGGCAATACAGGCGAGGAGCCATGAGCACGCCCTCAGGCAGAAGATGTCACACCGTTGCCATAAAGGGCATGTCCAGGCAGTTGTCGTTTATCTTGGGTCATTCTGGCAATTTTTGTGGTACAAGCTGGAACCGATCACCCCTAATATGTGCACCCCACAGAGAGTTCCACTTAAAAGGTTCTTATATTCATTGCCCGGTGCAGCACCATTTCCCACCTGGGCCGACCATGGTGTGCCGGTTGGGCCCTTCTTATCACAGTGCTCCAATCCAGGCCACTGGATTGAGCCAGCCTGGCTCCGCCTCCGCCAGCAGCTGACCACTCTAATGGGGAAGCAGGATGGGATTCTCCAGGCACAGCTGAGGAGTGGTCGGCTGCTGGTGGAGGCGGGGATGGGCCAGCCAAGCTCCTGCCCAGCTTGGAATGCCGCCGGAGAAGAAGCACCCCAATGACGCGTGATGCCTGATGAGTGGCTTGGCCATCCTGGCGGAGTGGGAGGTGGACCTGCACGGCACCTGCAGCACTGCGGAGGGTGCTTCATATGAAGTGTTTTGTGGGCTTCATGTCCATGTTGAGCACAATACTGTTCCTTAGAGGTATGCCCAAAGTCTATGTGGACGTGGCTGGGCTCACTGGAGGTATGGAGGGAGATGAGATAGGAGGAGGGGGGCTGGTCTACTGGTGCCAGGAATCTTGACCTAGAGTCCTGGCTGTGGGGTGGCTTGCCCCTTTTGAACCGTCTGCCAACAATGCCTCTGCTGCTGATTCTCTTGCCTTCTTACCTTTCATGACCTTGTCTTGTCTCGGCGTACCTAGACTGTAAGAATTAAATAAAAAAAATTAAAAATTACAAAGAATGCAACAGCAACAGTGGCTAGTGGTTGTGAGAGGCAGCCAGAGTGAGTGAGGGCAGGCGGAAGACAAAGCCTTGTATGCAATGCTTCTAAAAGGCCATGTAGCCCTTCAATTGATATACAACACAGTTTTAAAACAGATTAAAAGTATTCCCACAAACATGCACACACCGACCCCAAAAGCAGGTGACTACTATGTGACTTTAAACTGAATTCAAAAACCCTGATCCATCAAACAACCCTCACTTGGCTGCCTTAAGAGCTTTTAAGTTGGAATCTCCAATGCATAGTAATTCAGATATGGAATTCTTTCTGAACATAAATATGCACCTAATTCATGGTTCAAAGATGCGGTGGAGAAATGCCTCCAGCCCCTGAAACATCTACCAGATTCTACTACTTAAAAACCAGGTGGACCCTCACAAGCCTGACGTCTGTTCAGCCTGTAGTCTTCCTTCCATGCAAGTGGAAGAAGAGATTGTGATCTACCGGTACTTGTCTTCTCTGCTTGATCTGTGCAGTGGTGTAGGGCCTACACTATTTTACTTAAGCAGCCTTTGTTTCTTTGAGTTCCTAAAGCTGACAAAAACGGTGGACCCGAAAAGATTTCACTGGGAAGAAAGCAAAATATGCCCAAAGTGGGAACAGGGAATTTGGAGACTTCATAAGAAGTTAAAAACAAAAACAGGATTGGATCATAAACAAATAATGATTAAAGAAAACAAAACTGGTATTTAGGATGGAGATAAATCTATTATGAGTGAACACTAAGTTTATTGATTTCTTGTTCATCAGTAGAGCTAACACCTTGCATGCAAAAGGTCTGGTCCAACCTGCAGCGTATCCTGGGTAGCTCAGTGGTTTAGGTGTCTAGCTGGGAGTTCAAATCCCCACTGTGCCTCCTCGACAGGGGCTGGACCGGATGATCCATAGGGTCCCTTCGAGCTCTATGCTCAAAGATTATTATTAAGAGGGCTTCGTAATCACCATGGCTGGCTAGTCTCCATTGAAGTGAACATGAGTGCAACAGAGCTAAGGAAATCTAAAGGCACATTGCAGGAAACCAAGCACATGCTTTGGCGCTACCATCAGAAACAAAAGCTGTGGAATTTCCTGTGATTGTTCCAGGCTGATTTCCTGAGAATTCTTGATCCAACAATTCATTTCGTCCACCTGCTTTGTTCTCAAGGAGTGAAGATGTTCTGAGCCTGGAAGCAGGGTGTCATTTGCCTTTATTAGAAAGCCATCCAGAATATACAAATAATTTGACACTGTTGAATGTTTTCTTTAAGCCTTTTTATTTAGAAAAAATATGACAAAGTACTATGCTATAGATTTTTTTTAAAAAAAGGTTAAACATAGGAATACATTGCAAAGGCATTTTTTTTGAAGAATCTCAGTAAAAACAAATTGAAGAAATGAAAAGTCAAACATGGGGACTGTTATGTAGTGATGTGGAATATGGGAGAGGATTTTGCCTGGCTGCTGGGCTGTTGGCCTAGTACAGGTAATGAACAGGGAGTGGGGGTGGTCCGCATGGTATAAATGGCATAGGTGTGTTACTGTGTTTGTTCTTCATCTTATCTTGCTGTTCGACGTCTGCTGAATAAAGGCATGTGGATTACAGTCGGAGTCATGAGCCCACTATTTTACAGGAACTTCACACCAACAAGCAAGAACAAGGATTTTGGAAAGTTCTGAGCAGAATGCTTTGCTGCCAAGCATTTTTTGATCCTCTCTTAGACTAACTACAAAGCATAGAGGGAAATCTAATTTCTTTCTTAGTGGACCTTTCTTATTCCTTTGACAAAATGAATGAAACTGGAGAAGGGTATTGTGCATAGTGAGACTGTGAGGAGATTTCTCCTCCAATGTAACTTTGAGAGCAAACCATTTGTGTTAGAATTTAGCAATAATGTATTTAAAATTGTAGTAATAGATAATGTATTTTTATACCTTACAGCAGAGGTCCCCAAACCCCGGTTCCGCAGCCCGGTGCCGGTCTGTGGCCTGAACTGGACCGAGCCGCAAATAAAGACCTTCCCCCACCCCCCCACACTCCTCCCCGCACAGCCTGTTTGTGCCTGCATGCGCCCGCGCCCACATGACCGCTTTCCCACCCCTTTGCGCATGCCCACGAGTTCCCCCAACTGCCACGCCGCACTTTGCGTGCTCGAGCATGCACCCGCCCAAGCACTGCACACTTTGTGCATGCGCACGAGCGTGCACCCTCCCACTCCTTCACACATGTGCGCGTGTACCATCACACATGCGTACGAGTGCAGGGGGGGTGCCCCGCCTTCCCACCCAAGCACTGCACCACACTTTGTACCATCACACATGTGTACGAGTGCAGGGGGATGCCCCACCTTCCCCAACTGGTTTGTGGGGCTAAAAAGGTTGAGGACCACTGCCTTATAGTATAGCTGAGCCCAATGTATTCTGGGAAATGGACATTCCTAGAAAAGCCTTTACACACCTGGAAGCATTCTTGCGACAACCAAGAGGCCTCATAAAACAGTGCCTTCCTGAGAAGGGACAAATTTTTCATTTTAGGAAGACAAGCAGACTCCATGATGAGGAATGTTTCTGTTTTGGATCCTATCCCAGTGAAGGAAGCATGAAAAGAAATAGAAATTTTAAATAACTTCCTGTCTTCTCTGTTGCTTCATTCCCTTTCGAGGTGATTAAGGAGATGTCTTGTTTGTGGCCTTCAGTGCCTCATGTCGCTGATCTTTGCAAAAGCTGTCCCAGCTTGGCCTGAGTTTGAAGAGCGCTTGCATTTCGTCTTGATGGTTTCCTTTGCGATGATCTTTTGGTGCTGCTTGTTGTTTAGCATAGTACTGTACAATCTCTCTAGTCTCTGTTCATTGGAGATTAAACTCTACAGGAAAAGGGGGGGGGAACCATTGAGAATTTGCACATTGGATGTAGATTTCCTGCCCAGTCATTTCCTCTTTCTCCATGATCTGAGAACCATAGATTTATGAGGGAAGGGAATGAAGTTTTACCCAGCACCCTCGGCACTTTGTAAGAATACAACTGCCAGGATTCCACAGAAAGAGGTCCTGAGTGTTAAACAGGTATAAAACTAAGATATATTGCTAGTAGCTGAATATGTGGCCTAAATAATTGTAAGGTTGACATCACGCGAGACAGAGACCAAAGAACATCTCCCACAATCCATGGGGAATGGACAATTGCCAAAATCTTGTTGCTTCACATAGTAAATCGCAACGGCTCATTTAGTCAATCAACTCCTCTGTCAATTCCATTGATTCCTATGGGCCTATACTCGTTGTGACGTCCTATGATAAAGTAAGCTGCAATTAGAAGAGATCCATTGGAATTCATGGAATTGACAGAGGAGTACACTCACAAAATCCCCATTGGTTCAACAGGTATACTCCAGTATGATTTACTAGGCTAAGCAAGAGAGTCATAGTCAATATTTGAGAAAAGGGACTGGGCTCACCATCTCCTTTTGGGGCAGCACCAGTAGAGGTCCGAAGAGTTTCATAAGCATCTGCAGTAAGAGAAGGAAAAGCAGGAAGTGTGAAATGATTGTGGTCCTCCTTATGTTTCCGGTCATGCAATGTCCAGTTGCGGCAAATTCATGAAGTGTAAAGAAGACAGCTTTGAAAAGCAGAGCTCTACAAAATGTCTACCTATATCAGGGCAAGATTACAAAGGGAACTGGGCCAGAAAAACAGAAAAACGAAACTACACAGCAGGGAGTAAATCAGCCCTTCGAATTTTCAAAATTTAGAGTTCATTTTTTTCCTGCTGGAATTATGCCATGTAGTGAGAAGGAGAGAAGAGAAAGGAGAAAAGGCAGGGAGGAAGAAAGAAAAAAAAGGGGGGGGCTTCAGATTTATGAGCTCCTTCCGCAGCCACCCCCCCAACCCTTGAGTGAGGAGAAAGCAAGGGGCTCTCCCGCCGACTTCCACCTCCATCCAGATCCAAGCCCACCCAAATCATGCATGTGTGTGTGTGTGGGGAGGGGAGAAGTAGCAGGCGAAAGGCTCCCTGTCCCCAACTCCCCAGACCAGGGCTCCACTCTAGGGAGACCCGGGTCCAGGGCCCTCCCCACCGCGACCCCACCGCCCTTCTTCCCTTTTGCCCTACCGCTCTCCAGGGCCACCCGCAGCCTCTGCGCCTGCTGCTTGCAGCCGATGGCTTCCAGAACCTCGACCGTCACCCGAGGGGCATAGCCCTCCGTGTAGAAGTCCAGCAGGAGGTCGACCATGCGCAAAATGCTGGCGTTCTCCAGGCGCCCCCAGGGGATGCTTTCGTAGCCCTGGCGGACGGGGAACTTGTTCAGCTTCCACCGAAAGCGCTCCAGGTCTTCCTTGGACAAGTCGTCCAGGGCGAACCGCAGGCGATCGTGGACGGGCACCGACATGGCTCCGCTGCAGCGCCGAGAACGAGCGCCGAAGTCTCGCCCGGGAAAGGCAGGACTCTTGGCGAAGGGGCCAAAGCGTGGTGGGCAGAGGGGCGTGCGGATGGCCTCGCCCCCCTTCCAGCCACTCTGCCTGGAGTTCGAGGCGGGGTTTCGGCCACCCAGAGGCGCGCAGGAGGGACTGAGGGGGCCGCGCTCCTTTCGGTTTCAAGCCCGATCTTGAGGCTTTGTAGCCGTCCAGGAAGCGCTTTTTTGTTGTTGTTTTTTAAAGCGCGGGAACAATAAAGGCGGCGAGCAACACCCCTCCCCCGCCTCATCGAGAGCAAGCAGTTGTGGGACTGGGAGGGGCTGCTTGCTGCCTGTCCCAAGGCCATGCACGCCCGGAGCCGCTGGCAGGCATTTCGGCGGAAGACGCTCAACTGTTACCTTACAAGCCCTGTCTGCGCGTTGCAGTGCCTCTGGGTCAGTTTAGGTCGTTCTGATATTTTTTGCTTTGGGAGATTCGAATACATCACTGCTAATATACGCGCACGCCTCAACCCGAGGGAGGATAGGGGCCCGTCCCTGCAAGGAAATTGGGAGCAGTCCAGTTCCGACTTAAAAAGTTCTTGTCTCCACTGCCCTGTTTTTGTTTTCCTTCCTTGGGCGATCCTTCCATCCACGCTGGAGATGTTTATTCTCCCATGAGAAGGGCCAGCACCACTCTTTGGATCGCCTGTTTTCCTGCCCGTAACTTTACCCAGTTGATTTATTATTGTTGTTTCAACTCATAGGCCACCCCATAGTGTTAAAGCACTCTCTGGATGGTTTACTTGCATGTAAGGAGGCGGCGGCAACAGTAGTGGAGGACCGCAGTGACCGGAGGGGAAAACATTGGGGTGAAAACTGGGGAGATGAAAGGTAGATTCCCCTTCCCCCTTTTCCTGCCTTTCTCCTTTTCTGGGACGGTGACTAGGCTGTGCTGCCTTGTGAAGATGGAGCCCATGGAGTCAACTAACTCTCTTCCCCACCTTTTTCCACAGCTCTCATTCTGTAGACCATGGTGACTCTTCCCTTTTTTTTGTTTTTTTTAAAAAAGGTGGCATATCAACATACCAGTACATCAGTCTAGCATGGTATTAGAGTTTTGCTGTATCAGCAAGGGAAATATTTTAAAAGATGAAAATAGAGGAGCAGGTTTCTCTCTCTTTTAATGCTGTAGCGTTAAAAGTGGGATCTGAAGGCTTTAGGAATGGACCTCAGTAGATGGGAAACCTTGACATCTGAGCGCTTAGCCTGGAGGCAGGCGGTGCATCACGGCCTCTCCCAATTTGAAGAGACCCTTGTCCAGCAGGCCGAGGCAAAGAGGTAGTCATGAAAGCAGCAAAATCAGGGAGCTGGACAGGGGACAGATTGTATTTGTCTTCAGTGTGGAAGAGATTGTCACTCTCGAATCGGCCGCCTCAGCCACACGCGACGCTGTTCCCAGGCCTCTATTCAGAGCATGTTACCATAGTCTCTTGAGACTGAAGGATGCCTACAGTAATAGATAAATATGTTTTTTTATATATACCTTAGTATAGCTGATCCCAGGGGACGTGGTGGCGCTGTGGGCTAAACCACAGAAGCCTGTGCTGCAGGGTCAGAAGACCAAGCAGTCGTAAGATTGAATCCACGCGACGGAGTGAGCGCAATATGTTTTTTATACCTTAGTATAGCTGAGCCCAATGTATTCTGGGAAATGGACATTCCTAGAAAAGCCTTTACACACCCAAAAGCATTCTTGCAACAACAAAGAGGCCACATGAAACAGTGCCTTCCTGAGAAGGGGCAAATTTTTAATATTAGGAAGACAAGCAGACTCCATGATGAGGAATGTTTCTGTTTTGGGTCCTATCCCAGTGAAGGAAGCATGAAAAGAAATAGAAATTTTAAATAACTTCCTGTCTTCTCTGTTGCTTCATTCCCTTTCGAGGTGATTAAGGAGATGTCTTTTTTGTGGCCTTCAGTGCCTCATGTCGCTGATCTTTGCAAAAGCTGTCCCAGCTTGGCCTGAGGTTGAAAAGCTCCTTGGCGATGATCCTTTGGTGCTGCTCATTGTTTAGCATACTATTGTGCAATCTCTCTAGTCTCTGGTCATTGGAGATTAACCTCTACAGGAAAAGAAGGGGGGGGAAACAGCTGAGAATGTGCACATTGGATGCAGCTTTCCTGCCCAGTCATTTCCTCTTTCCCCAGGATCTGAGAACCATAGATTTATGAGAGAAAGGAAGGGAGTTTTACCCAGCATCCTCAGCACTTCGTAAGAATACAACCCCCTTAATTCCACTAAGATATATTACTAGTAGCTGAAGATATGGCCTAAATAATTGCAAGGTTCACATCACTGGAGGCACAGACCAAAGAACAACTCCCACAATCCATGGGGAATCGACAATTGTGAACATCTTTTTGCTGGGTACCTGAACTTGTGGGACTGAACTCAAGTCATGAGCAGAAATTTGACTGCAGTACAGGTTGTCCATTCTTCTGCAGAACAAGCTGAACACAGACTGAGTGGACCTCTAGTTATTGCTCAGTCCATCTCATTACACAATTAACTCAGGGCATGTCCAGACAGTCATTTGTCCCAATGTTTTGTGTGCTCCAGGGGAGGATTAGTCCACTCTTAATTTCCAGCAACCACACAGTGTAATTGCTGGAGCAGCCAATTGTTCCCCATACCTCTTTTTGAGTCCATCAGAGAATTCAACTCTTTTCTTGTGCGTAGGTGTGCTCTAGTTTGGTCCATTCCTAGTTTTGTGCAATCACTGGGAACAGACCAAAATTGAGCCTCGCACCTGTCAAAACGACCAAGACTCCTTCAGGTTTTAATTTCTAGTATGATCAAATGGCTCAGGATATTGGCAAATTGAACTCTTCCCTTGCTTCTCTGTGAAGGAGTGGGGAAGTGAAATTATTATTTGTGTGTGTGTGCCTCCTGGACCATCGCTGATATATTGAATTGCTTAAATTAATTTTTTTTAAAAAATATTCTTTATTTTGTGTAATCCTGATCAAAACATGATTACAAGCAGTTTTTTTGGCTGGCACTACACAGAAGGGAAATAATTTTGAAAAAATTAATCTAAGTGATTCAGCACATCGGCAATGGTCCAATAGATGGGAAAAATTATTTCACTTCCACTGCCCCCTCCTCAAAGGACCAGGGGAAGTGTTCAGTTTGAAAATGGCCTTGAAATGGCTCATTTTTAGCAACTGCATGATACTCAAAATAAGATCACTTCCTTTATTATAGAGTCCATCCGTCTCCTATTTGATTCTTCCTCTTTTTCCTGATGCCTTCAACTTCTCTCAGCATTATGGTCTTTCCCAGCAAATCTTGTCTTCTCATTATGTGCTCAAAGTACCACAACCTGAGTTTTATCATTTTTGCCTCTTGAGGTTGGGCTTGACTTGATTTAAAATGGACTTTACTCCTAAATTAAACAAGATAAAGTAGGCCCATTTGAGCCAGTGGAAGTCACAGAGGAGTTGACTCTGCCCTAGATTCAGTGGGGTGAACTCTACGACAATTTACGAAGCCGAGCAACAAGATCTGAGCCACTGAACATGAGCTTTCTGGTTAGCTACCAGATGCTCGTATCTACTGATTAGATCTCTCTCCCCATGCATGCTTAAGGTGTGAAATGACTATTACCATGTTCCATGACCATGAATTCTGTGTCAGTTCTGTGCTTTCTCTAGTGCCAAAAGAATGCCTTGAAAACATAGGTGAAAACAATTTTTTTAAAAAAGAGTTAAAAAAGCAAAAACATGGTTGCACCTTAAAGATGAAGTGGACTTGTCTGTGAAAGGTCATATGAAAATATATATAAAACTTAGTCTTTAAGGTGCCCCCATATTTTTGCCTTTTTTTAACTCTTTATTTTTGTTTTTAACCTATAATGCTTGCACAGACTAACACGGCTACCTCTTCTACAACCTTGAAAACAGTTTTGTCTTCAAACTGACAGAAAATCTCAGTTCTTTCTTTCGCTAGTTCTGGACTTCCAATCGATTCACTCAGGGTGGCCCTAGCCCCAGCAACCCCAGCCAGGGAGGCCGGGCCAGGCATGGCATGGCATGAACTGGCCGGGCTCGCTTCCTCTCTCCTGCTCCGGTGGATGCACAAGAGGAGCCCAAACCAAAGGAAGCGTCTCCAGTGGCTGCAGCAACGATGCCCAATGCTGGGGCAAACACAGGCAGAGGGAAGGGGATGGGGAGGAGGGAGAAGAGGAAGAGGAGGGGAAGTGCCACCCCAGGAAGCAGCAGTGGCAGCATTGGAGGAGAGGATGAGGCAGGGTTTGCTCTTTGCAGAGGCAGGGCAACCGAGCTGAGCAGAACAGTTGGGGGCTGCGCCTGGCCTGTGTGGACCCATGGAGGAGGGCTGCCGATGCCTCCCAGTCCCACCTCACCCCTTTCAGCACTGGTTTTCTGGCAGAGGGATTCCCCCTCCACCTCTACCTCCCAATCCTTGCTGGCAGGGCCTTTGGCCATGAGCCGCTCTCGGGGAGGCTCTGGCGCAGAGTAGGGGGAGAAGGTGGGGGAAATGTGCTCCTCATCCTCACAGCTTCTGTGGAAGCCCAGCTCTGGGCTGCCATTTATGGTCCCCCTCCCCAAAGGTGCTCACGTGGTGTGGCAGCTCCCTGGCCCCTGGCGTGCACGGCTCCCGGGGGGCTGATGATAGAAAAGGGTGTGCCCAGCCCTGCGTTGAGTGCCCAGCTGGGGCTGTGACCTCAAGCCACCCCATCCTGGGTTGCTGAGGGTTGAGCAGCTTCCTGCCCGGGCAGCCAGTCCCACAGGAGGGGGAAGAGAGTGCTGTTGCAGAGTGGACAGCAGGGTGGGAGCGGGGAGGGAGGGTCAGCCGAGGAGCAGCTGTGAACTTTAAAGCCCCCCCGGCTTGCCGAGGGTATAATGGGGGCAGTCACACATGTTGCACGGGGACACGTGATCCCCACACCCTGTAATACTTGTCTTGCCCCAGGGGCCAGAAACCCACCCCACGCCACTGCTGAGTCCTTTTATTTATTTATTTAAAATTAAAGAAAACAACAGTAACAAAACGAATATAAAGTACATGATTTTACACAATACAAGTGCCACCTGTGCCACCGTCACCCTCAGGACTAGGTAACCAAAGATATCCTCTTAAAACTTTTCACCCCGTTACACTCCAAAAATACATTGATTCTTCTGCTGGCTTATAACATTTCCCTTTTAAAAAAAACATGCTCCAAATATAAATTCCATTCATCTTTAAAATCATTAAACTTTGTAATTCCCCTTCTTTTTTTCATTTCACTTGTTAACTTATCATTGATTGCTAAACTTGACATTTCTTTGTACCAGTCTTCAAGATTAATTTGTCACTTTTCCAATTCTTTGCAAACATTAATCTTGCTACTGTGACCATTATGACTATTAGCTCTTTCTGTTCTTTTTTAAGATGGCCACTGCTGAGTCCTATCACATATTTTGGGGCTCTCTGCAAAGTGAAGACACCTGAGAAGGTAAAATTGCTCAAGATGGGATTGCAGAATGATCATCCCCTGGATTGTCAAACCACTCCATCCTTCCTTTAACCCAGTGAGTGCAATTCACACATGGAAATAGGAAAAATACATCTTTTAATATCCACAGGATACATGCATATTTTATTTAATTTTCTGTATATACGTGTGTGTGCGTGTGCATGCGTGCATGTGTATGTGTGTCAGAGAGAGAGAGAGAGAGAGAGAGAGAGAGCTGCATATATAAAAGTACTTACAAAACAAATATCTAAGACACATTTTGGCTTTCTTCTTTTGTTGCTCTAGCAAAAGTATGCTGTTTGCCAGATGGCAGTTAAAGAACCCACTCCCTGTTTCTATCTGTCTATAAAACAAGGCACAGAGTGGCTAAAAGACAGCTTCTTTCTCAGTCAGGCCAAGACAGGCAGTTTTGGGGCATTTTGGCAGGAGAGTCTGATAATGAATCGGGAAGCCAACCGCCGAACAATAGGAGAGAGACCAGGAGCACAGAGGCCGCCCTGACAGTTTGTCCTGTAGCTGTTCCACAGTCTAGTAAATGTTTTCTCCTATTCCAGGAGTGAGCAAAGCCTTTGGATGTTGTTGGCCTGCAGCTCTGATGAGCCCCAGCTAGCCTAGGCAATGGAAGTGGGGAGTGGTGGAGCAATGATCTGGATGGTTTGACTTACAGTGACTCTACGAATGAGTGGCCTCCAACATGTCCTGTCATGAACAGCCCTGCTCAGTTTTTGCAAAACCAAAAGGGTGGCTTTCTTTATTGAGCCAATCTATCTCACGTTTGGTCTTTGATTCTCCTCATAGCTGCCTGCATTTAACCCCTAGTAGAAAAGGAATGATAAGTTTTCTTGTATTTCATGAAGTAAAATGAATACAGTGGTGCCTCCACTTACAAATGTCCTGACTTACAACCATTTTGAGTTACGACCAGCTCCAGCAGCAAAATTTTGCTTTGGCTTGTGGCCGGAGCTTCGAGTTACAACCAAAAAAAGGCAGGGGAAAAAGGTGGGGAATTCCAATTTGCTAATCCTTGGTAGGCGAAGAGGCTGCTTCTTTGTAGCTCTTTCGCCCCAACAGTTAGAGTGAGTGCGATTGGAGGAGGCTTTGGACTGCCTGGTAAGGTAAGGTGCTGCTTTCTGCTTTTTAAAAACTGTTCTGGGTGGGTGGTGGGATTACAGTATGTTTCTATGCTATGATGGGTCTTGCGGGGTTTGTTTTTTGTTTTCCCCCTCCCATTTCCGATGGGGGTTTGGCTGCCTTTTGGTTCCCCCCTCCCCCATTTTTGATGGGTCTTGCAGGGTTTGGTTGCTTTTTGGTTTGCTTTCTTTGCATTTCCGATGGGTCTTGTTTTGTGTGTATGAGTGATTTTTTTCTTTGGCCGGAACAGATTAATTGCATTTCAGTGCTTTCCTATGGGAAATGTTGCTTCAACTTACAATCATTTCGAGTTACAACAATCTTCCGGAACCAATTAAGTTTGTAAGTCGAGGCACCATTGTACTTGGAAAGAACACAAGAGTGCTGAGGCACACCTGGCTATAAACGGAGCTGGTAGATTCAGCATGTCCTAGAATGATGGCACTCCTTTGTTGACTCATGACTGATGTTCAAGGTCTTCAATGAGGAATTTGTTTTTCTTCTTTATTGCCTCGTACAGCTTGTCCTTGCAATCACGGTTCCAGCTTGGCACCAACTGGTAGAGCTCCCTCATCTTGTCCTGGTTGGTTCTCTTTGCAGAGATGGCTCGGTATTGCTCTTCATCCAGGATGATTCCATACAGCATATCCAAAATCCCCTCTACTGCGGCAGTCCACTGAATCAGTGCCTCTCGGTGTCGGTCAATGAAATGCTGCTCCAGTGGGACTGCCGCCTGCATCCCTGTCAAAGAAAGAAATGCAATAAAAGGACATGTCTGCACAAGGAATATTCTCTGATCAGTCATAGAAGACTTTAACAATGAATTGTAATTTTGTTCCAGAACATTGTGGCTGAAATCCTGTTGTTTATACTTGCAGAGGGATGATGACATCACTAGCAGGGGTTATTTTCAATAATTAAAAACTTTTTCTCTCACACAGCTTTTCCAGTTCCCATGTAATTCATTTTATCATGTGAAAGTGATGGGAGTCACAGGATAGGAGGAGGAAGTTTTAATTACCAAAAATCAGTGCTGCTAGATGATGCTACTAATGCAGGAGATTTTTGGTAATAAAAAACTTCCTCCTTCTGTCCTATGGCTCTTGCAGCTTCCATGCACTTAAAAGTTATGAACTTACCAAAATTCCTTTTGTATTTTTTTCTGTAACTATAACATAAACAAAAAAATATACACATAACATAAACTCAAATACAATAACAGTGTTCCCCCAGAGAAAACGTTTTAAAACTAGGTCCAAGATGGTATTAAACACTGTTAAAATTAAACAAGATTAATGCCAATCATCCGAATGTCTGTTGGAAATGTGATAAAGAAACTGGTACGTACTTTCATATGTGGTGGGAATGTGAAAAGTGCAAAGATTTTGGAAACAAATTTTTAAAGAATTAAGCTATATATGTGGAAAAGATACAGAATGTAATGCTGAGATTGCTTTGTTATCAATATAACAAACAGAATGTGTAATATGAAAAAATGACTAAAGAACTGATGACTAATTTATTAACAGCAGACTCTTCTCCCTCATTACTTCAAGGAAAATAGATTCTCAAAAAGTAGAATTACACATTCTTCTACACATAACTGCACACATAATTTGACGTAGAGCTCCTGAAACCATAAAATCCTAGCACCCGAGAGGCTTCTGTCTTTGGCAAAAGCCTAAGGATGAGACTGGCTCTCATAGATTCCTGCTCACCTTGTACTGAGTCCAACGTCAGTTCTTCTGAAAGAGAAGAGGAAAGAGGAAGTTAGAGAGGGAATGTGGCTCGGATGTCCTTTTCAACTCTGCCTCCCGAGCTTTATTCCAATCCTCATGGATTCCTCCCCTGATCCAAGCTCACCTCTTCTCACGCAGGACGTCCAGATGGATGCATCCTTGTTCTTCTCAATGAGGTTCAGCTCCAGCTCATCTTCCATGTTTCGAGCACACAGTTCCAGGTACTGCTGCTCCATGTCCACATCCAGGTATCTTAATATCAGTTCCTGTGTGAATGAGCGAAAATTCTGTATGTGAGAATATTTCTTTGCCCCTCATTTTTGACACAGCTCACCATTCAAAGCAGATGACCAAAAGCTGAAGGAAACCTCAAATGACCCACTTAATAGCCCTGCTTTCATCGAGGCAACCTTGTGTCTCACCTCGGGAGAGATTTTAACATCATGTGAAGTTCTCACAAAGTAGCAAGTCTCAAGCTTCAGAGGGCGTGTGGTGCCAGGAGGTTTGGGCACTCTATTTGACCATTTCACTTCATTGTCATGTACAGCCTGGGAAGGAAAGAGGAGGTCTGCTTTGAGACATGTAAAGAGACACACCCAAAATTCTGGAGAACTGGACACCTTTCCAACAGGTGGGAGGATCCCTGGAAGAAGGAATCCAGCTCTTTCCTTGCAGACCGACTGCTTTCTAGGTTCTTCGATAGCACCTAAGGAATAGTATGCCAGACTGTCAGAAGGCACTGGAATATGAACAGGAGATTCTACGGCCACATCACTTAACTCAGGGCCTTGCACAGCCAATATTTAAAGATACAGAAAAATATATTTTAGTAATCGGTGAAGGGAACTAGGTCTAAGAAAACAGGGCTTTTGGCATCTGTTTTCCAAATCTGTCTCAATAATTCAAAAGGGATTCTTTTGATCCTGTAAGAGTTACTTTTAAACTGCAGTGAGAACCATGTTGTTGGAGGTGACAGTTATTCGTGTGTTTACCGATACTTTCAAGTTTGTTAGAACTTCAAAAGTTAGTCCAAGCCCACCAAGTGTGGGTAGAATACAGCTGTCATGATACCCGCTGAAGCAAAACTTTGGGATTCTACCAGAATATAAGCTGTATTGTGAACCTAATATTAGAACACCTTACAGAGTTGGAGAGAGCCAATCACCTGTTTTAGAGAAGAATCATTGGGGAGGAGATACAGATGGAGTATTGGGTATGGGAGTCTCAGCTGTTGATAGAGCAGAACTATGGCATGGACCTTGATCTTTTGCTTAAGAAATGGTATTTTGCAAATAGCACCAAGAAGAGAGAACTTGGGGTTGTACAATACAACATGGAAATTCTCCACTCTATCTGGCTTCTCCAGAATCATCCCCTCTTCAGTAAAATGTGCAATGCTGACTTGGTAAGGGTCTTCACCTGCCAAAAGAACACAAGGAAATTTGGACCAACATAGACCAATTGTCAAATAAGAAACTGGGATGTTGCTGCCAAGCTTGTCCTTTTCTGCTTCATTCGGGGGTGTGTGTGTGTGTGTTATTGTCATTATTAACACAGTTGTGATCTTTGATCACCATACACAAAAATGTTTACTCAAGGCGTGTCTAAACAATTTAAATCAGAGAAAACAAGATAACAGCTGGAATCCTATTCCTCCTTACAGAACATTTATTTGACTCACAGTGGCGGATCACAGCTAATGGCTAATGTGCAAATGTGTATCTTGGTGGTGCAGTTGGGCATGTGACTGAGACACAACCCGGCACCTTGTTAATTAGTGGCAATTAGCTCCAGCAAGTTGCACAAATCTGGCCAAAGTAGTAAAATCATGTTACAAGATTAAAACACAACATAAAAACAAAAGAAACAAGAAAAATTTATAGAAATCAGCACCTTTTAAGATACAATGAATAAACAAACACGGCTGGCCCCAGAACATTTTTGGCTTGTCAATTGAGGAAATGCAAATTGTAATTATTCCTCTTCAGGATTCCTGGTTTTATGATTACAATAATTTTTTTCTTAACATACCTGCAAGACACAAAATGTGAGGGAAGTGAACTGCCACCACAGCGTCTGCTGGATCTGCCTGGATGTTGAGCAAAGGTCCGGCAACGGTCAAGTGTGCCTTCCGAATATCATCCATGTAACCAGACCATGAATCAAAGTGATATGTTATGGTTACAGCTGTTTTTATATCAAATATGAGATCAGTAATACCACATCGTATAGAACATGCTTCGGTGACGTGTAATCTGGATGCACCAAAAAAGAAGAAAATAAGACAAGGGAATTGAAGAATGGTATCATAGGTTCTTACATGGTCGAGTAGACCAGATAGGCGGGGTATAAATCAAATAAATAAATAAACAAATAAATAAATAAAATTACAGCGGTGCCTCGCTTAACGAGCGCACCATTTAACGACGAATCCGCATAGCGATCTCTTTTTTGAGATTGCGAATGCGATCGCATTGCAATGTTTTAATGGGTAAAACATCGCATTGCGATGATTGGTAAGCGTTTCACTTACCGATCTTCGCATTGCAATGTTTCCCCAACAGCTGATTGGCGGTTCCAAAATGGCCGCCGCAAATGTTTTCGCGCCCTGCCCTCGCTTACTGAGGGCGCGAAAATGGCAGCGCTATGGCGGAACTTCGCTGAACTGTGAGTTTTGGAGCCATAGGAACGCATTAAACTAAGTTTAATGCGTTCCTATGGCGTTTTCCGTTCCGTTTATCGATGTTTCCTCATAGTGACGATTAATCCGGAACGGATTAACGTCGCTATGCGGGGTACCACTGTAATTTAAAAACTTTTTTGGCAAAGAACAAGAAGAACTCTTAGCTCATTTCACAATGCATACAAAGAGTCCAACATCTGGTCTGTGCAAACTCAGGTAGTCATATGTCAGCAGTGGCTTCAGATTCTGGTCCTTAACTTTTGGTTCACTTGTATCTGATGCTATCATAAGAAGAATGAACTAAGGACAGAGGACAATGCTTTCTTCAGGTGATGTCCAATGACAGTGAAAGTCCCTTATAGACAGAGGTAAGGTCTAACAAACACTAGCTTCAATCATAAACTGTGGCTAGCAGTGGATCTGAACTCCCATGCAAAAGCCCTTTTCTGCACAGACTAACAGTGTGTAGGCGCAGCTGGACAGAAAAGCAAAAAACAAAAAAACAAACATAAAAGCAAAACATGCTGCCCCGTAGCGCTTAAAGCGCTCCCCAGGCAGTTTACAACTTAATTATGCAGGCTACACATTGCCCCCACCCTCCCTGCGAGCTGGGTATTCATGTTACCGACTTTGGAAGGATAGACGGCTGAGTCAACCTTGAGCCGGCTACCTGGGATTGAACCCCATGTCATGAGTACACTTTTGGCTGCAGTACAGCAGTTTAACCACTGCACCACAAGGGAAGGAAACCTCTCAGGCAAGCACTCCTGCACACTGTGTCATTGAGGGCGATCCTCTTACTGATTAGAGCACAGATTTTTGGAGCCTGCAGCCTCCACAGGGCTCCCTCCAACTTACTGCTCTGCATGAAGCAAAAAATGATTCCAGCACAATCTGCTCCTGTGCTTCCCACCTCCATCCTCTCCATCAGAGATGGCTCCTCCCACCGCTTCCCAATAGAGATGGCACCCTGGCTGCACCTTACCCATCATATCCATTGCAGCGTGGATGAGGCTGGAGAGCCAGTCCACGCTTGAATTGCAAAACCGTCAGTCCCACCTCATCCCTATGGAAGTGGTGAATGACGTTAGTGCTCTTGAGCTCCCTTCACACACGCAGTTCGAAGAAGGGTACAGTGAGCGAAGGAATCACATATGGAAATTAATCATTCTCATTCAGCTATAGAGTTGATTCAGAGTTCAAAGACTGCATTTCAGAAATAAACTAAATGACACGAAAACAAAAAGCAGTGCTGCTTTTGTGATGTTTCCCATTCAATGCGACTAAAAAATCCGATCCCTAAGGTTTACCTGTAAGTTTTGCGTCTCCTTTTGGGGTCCTGGACAACCGTCGGCCAGATTTTTTCTGGACTGGCCTGGAAAAAAGCATAACTGATATATCTGATGGTGCCTCCCCATGGCATCCCTTCTGAATACATAGTTGCTCCGTTCTGGACTTGTTACACCCCATTCCATGACATGAGTCATCCCGTATAATACAATGTGAAACACTTTTCTATAGCAAATGCATATTCTATTCATTTATTAGCCTGAGCTGTATTGATATCGGAAGGATTAGAAAACTGCTGATAACAGAGCCTTCAAAAAGAAAGTATAATACTGTAGAACGTTTCATCCTTTGAAATGCATAGGTCGGCTTTTTATCAGAGACCTGATGTATTTCTAAGGTATAGAAGCTCACACTGAAAATACATTTGATAGTTTTAAAACCAAGCAGGATTTTTTTGTTTGTTTGTCTTGTTTCTCACTTTGTTTTTGCTGAATCAGATTAACACAGTTGGCCCTCTGAAAACTATTAATTCTAAAGAACTCAAGTCCATAGTGAATGAGTCTCAAGCTGAAATCTTAAACTAATGAACTCTAGGAAGTTTTAGCACCTGCCTTCCGAGAAGGGTAAACTAAGATGAAGAGCAGCCTGGTCTCTTCTGAAGAACAATGTCTACTTCCCTTTACTTTCTGCCAAAACAAACACCGAGATCCAACTGTTAATTGCCCCAAGTACACAGAATTTATTGACAAGAGGGTCAAATCTTGAGAACATGGCCAAAGAGCCCGAAAAACCCACAACAACCATCAAATCTTATGTTAAGAGAAAGGTGTGCTTCTGGATATTATAATATCCTTCCTGCAAACAAGATTTGACCCTTTGAGGTATCAGACTCACAAATGAAGCCCAGGTTTACCTCCTCATTTCCCATTCCAAAACAAAAAGGAAGACAATGTGCAAAATACAGTGTTACATATAATTGTGCTAGGGTACACAAACGTCTTTTACTTCTTAAGGGAGGTCTGATTCTAATGATGTGCTGTAATGTATGCTAATTGTTTTCAACTTTAAATATTGTCTTTCATTGTTGTAAGCCAACTTGGGTCCCTTTCAATATTTTAAATAAATAAATAAATAAATAAATCAATCAATCAATCAATCAATCAATCAATCATCTAGTCCCTTACCTTGCTGCACAGTGAGCTACACATGGGACATTCCTCAGAAGGTTCAGGGTCTATTTTGGTTTCCATTCTTTGCTCGTCTAGTCCTACAAATAAAGACAGATAGTTAAAACACAACTCTCTGATATGTGAGACTTCTTTCAATTTTGCATTTAAAAAAGAATCACACTCCAGACCAGGGCAGAGCAGAGAAGGTAGGGGGCTGGAGGAACAACATTTGCTGGTGACACCACCGGTCATTGCCAAACATTTGCGGAATTGCCCTGTGATCCTAGCAGTCAATGTTCTTCTGCCATTACCAGACTGATGGGCAGGCACACGCCGATGCTGTTTTCGGAAGAGCGGTCCTCTTGTCTACCTTGGAATGATACAACCCTCCTCTGGTAAGACAGCTTTATAGCTTCCCCGTTATCGGAGTCACAGAGAAAAAGAGAAGAACGATAGGTTGCTTCTCTGTATGTGGTGCTTCCAGTGGTGATTTGTGACCTCACACATGGCAAAGATGAGGCACCGCAGCTGTCCGAAGAGGGTTCAAACCTCACCCTTTCTTTGATCTCAAAGTGTCCGCCCACTTCCACGGAAACTGTATTTTTAAACCACACTGAAATCCCTCATAGAATGTAGGACACCACTTTTAAACCACACTGAAATCCCTCATAGAAAAAATATCAGCATCCTCCATAAATGAATGCCCCTTTCACTATTCCACCAATTTAGGCCATGTCACTGGGCTGGGGCCGTTTCAGAGGAGGAGGGGCCACTTCCAAAGGGCTCCTTGATGGCAGAGACCTCTCTCCTTCCTGATCTGTACTGCCAGTCCAAATGACAACCAAGAGGCTAATGGGAGCCCACAGAAATAGGCCGAGTTGGACCTATCATTTTGAACAGATTTACTTACTGAATGGCCACCGTCAGAACTTGCTCCCTCCAGAGGCTTAGCAAGAGTCCTAGTTTGCTATCATAATTGCCGCTGCCCCTCATTTCTACAAAGTTTAGGATTAGCCGTGGTCTCCATCCTATAAGTGTGGACATACTGTAGCCAGGAAGGGCCCTCACAGTCCATACAAAAGCCCCAAATATTACACCAGACCACTAGAAAAACGCTAGAGCCCTCCAAGGCTGTGCTTGAACCAGTACTTCTCCAGAGAAAAGAAATTCCAGAAGCCAATTACTTCACATGCAGCCTACCTTCGTACACTACATTTTTTCTTTGTTCCTATTCTCCTCCTCTTCCTCACCCCATTAGCCAGTGCCTCTATACAAAAGGCTGAAGATCTCTATGTATTCTCCTTTTCAATTTTTTTCATGGAAGATGACTCCCAAAATAGAAACTTCTGCTCCCCAACAGGAAGGGTCTGCACAGGTTTTAAACTGCACTGATACCGAATCGGACCCCAACGACATGTAACTGTTACCTCTATCCGGTAGTGGCAGGAACATATGATTACTCCCTTTGTTACTACAACCCCCAACCTATGATGCCTGGAAGAAAGATGCAACTGGAGCAGGAAAACTGGCCAGAATCCCTATAAGGTATGTGAAGTGCCCCTATCCCCATCACCACAGGTACCATATTGTTGACTGAAGACCAGGCCAGGGGATGGCCTCCAGGGTCCCTACCCCACCAGTACTCTCTGTCTTTCCATGTGATGCTACAGACCTCTCACCTGAAGGCACAGCTGTTGCTTGGGTTCGACCGCCAGCCAAACCACTTATGTCTCCTATGTCTGGGCTGCAATCGCCATGCATGGAACCTTGACCCACCGATTCTGGCACTCGTGTCTCTTTACTGGGTTGGTCAACTTTTCCTGCCACAATAAAGTTTGATTAGCCAAAACAACGTTATTTAGCAGCCTCGCTCCCCTTCATCTCCCTTTCGGTTCTCCTGGCAGGAGCTGCCAGCTAGAGAGGAGGTGGGGAGCTGACCGGAGCTTCACCCCTGCCAGAATGATTTAATATTCAGGGGGGGGCCCCTCCTCATCAGAAGGTGATGAGATGATGAGGAAAGCTCCTTTGCGGCCTGTTTCATAGCTGGCTCCTTGACATCACTGTAGCTATGTCCCTCCTTCATAGCCTTGGCTCTTGAACCACTTTGCTCTGGACAAAGGACACGTATCCGAACATCAACCCTCACCCCAGTTACCCAGTCACCCTGCCAAAACCCTGAGGTCCTCCCCCACTGCCTGATCCATCCACCTTAGTGCTGCTCAGATGAGCTATGTTGAACCTGTAGCAGAAATTGCAAACTGATGCAGTTCTTTAATTGAGCAGCAGAGCAAATCAATATTTTATAAGGCAATTCTAAACAAGGGAGCAGCCCTAACAAACTTGTAACTTTGAAACAGCAAAGTGGCTGTCCAACGGGGCCGTAGAAATAGCAAAGAGGAGAAGGGAAACAAAATGCAAGGGAGATAGGGAAAGCTACAGAAAATTGAATGCAGACTTCCAAAGAATAGCAAGGAGAGACAAGAGGGCTTTCATAAATGAACAATGCAAAGAAATAGAGGACAATAACAGAAAAGGAAAAACCAGAGATCTGTTCGGGAAAATTGGAGATATTAGAGGAACATTTTGTGCAAGGATGAAGATGATAGAGGACAAAAATGGTAGTGACCTAACAGAAGCAGAAGACATCAAGAAGAGGTGGAAAGAATACACAGAGGAATTATATCAGAAAGATTTGGATATCCCGGACAACCCAGACAATGTAGTTGCTGACCTTGAGCCAGACATCCTGGAGAGTGAAGTCAAGTGGACCTTAGAAAGCCTGGCTAACAACAAGGCCAGTGGAGGTGATGAAAATCCAGTGGAACTATTTAAAATCTTAACATATGATGATGTTAAGGTGCTAAACTCAATATGCCAGCAAGTTTGGAAAAACTCAACAGTGGCCAGAGGATTGGAAAAGATCAGTCTACATCCCAATCCCAAAGAAAGGCAGTGCCAAAGAATGCTCCAACTACCGTACAATTGCACTAATTTCACGCGCTA